TCTCATAGCATAGTGCCATAGTGTTAAACGAGGGTTGGGGGGGCATGTGGTAAATGTTAAGGTTGATGTAAATACTAGACTGGGGCCAATGCCAAAGTTACCCTCCCCCAAATGACGCCACTGAGTGTGTTTCCTTTTAAAGTTTACACTAAATTGTTTTTTTACCAGTGGGCCTGATTGAAATGTAGATTGGATTTCGTTGAAGTCCTTCTCTCCAAACGAGATCGTTTCGGTAATTCAGTCAATACAAAGGACGTATTACAATTTATAATTTTCATTATTCGTGTATTATACTATTATATTATATGATTTTTCTTATTACTATTCTGCGGACTAGTCGGTTTTGCGTGTCCCTTTGTCTTAAAAAAAAACCGAATTTTTAGTTTGTTTTTTACTTCCTTTCAACTCGAGTATTATATAATAATATTAATATTAAGCAGCTATATTGACAATGGTAGAGGGTGAAGGGGGGGGGGGGGGGTTTGTAGCACATACGTGCAATTCAATGGTTTGTCTGCATATCATTGTTATGCAACGGAGCACATTGTGTGTAGAGGTTCGACTGGTTCGAGGAGACGAAAATCGTACTTAAGACCATTGCAACATGCCAACACGTATGAAATATGTATAAAATTATATTATTATGTCTTGAGTATAGGAATAGCCGTTTATCTAGGTACTTAATAATAAACAATCCGACGTAGGTATATGAAACACTGACATACATTCATTTTTATATATATAGATTATTTATAATTTATACCAGAGAATTAAATACCTATCAATATAATATAAGTAATAGGTACGCAGTATAGCCCGGTATATGTGATACACCTAGCAGTAGCCTTTTAGCCAATAGCCTTTTATCTTCAGTACCTAATGTAGTTATTCAAAATCTGATTTTTGGAAATTTTAAATGTATCTAAAGATCATATTTTCAGTATTGAGATTTTTCGCACCTACTACTTAAGGAGTGTCCTGTGATTTAAACTTTTCTTTGTCATATTATAATAATCTCCCTTTTCTACTGTAAATTATTAATCATATAATTTTCCTGAAAATTATGACTTATCATATCAAAATTCGAATGAGTAGGCATTGTTCTAAATTATTTAAATTTGTGTTCGAAGGACAATAGGTCCATGATAAGCAATTTGGAAAATATAGGTACAGAGAGTAGGGACTATGGTGATTTAAAAATTGTAGTACCTACCTATAATTAGGGAACTTACCCGATTACTACAGTGCCGCATTTAGACATTTTGGGACCCACTGCAAAAAAAAATTGCTCCCCCCTAAAGGGCCTACCCACGGAAAATATGGGAGATAGATCCTCATTTACCTTTTAGATTTTGAGCACAGAAAAGAATATTTGTTTTACAATGAGTGCTTTTTTTAAAATATTGTTTAGTAATGCTTGATCCTCTCTCCGTAAGATACACTTTAATTTATGTCACTTAAACTTTGCTTTTATTCATCATATAAGTTGGTTTTTTTTAAACATATTTAAGTAGGTTAATATTAATTTATCATAATTTATTATTTGTAAAGATGGTCCAACTGTCCTAGTAGGTACCTATATAGCAAATTCTATAGATCTGATATTATATATTATATCTTATAGTTTTGTAAAACCATCTCTAAAAAGTATTATTCTTAGAATAAAAATTTTAATAACTGAGAAACTACTAGTTAGAATTCACAAATAGGTACATAACATTTAAAAAAAAAATTATTCACTAAATGGTTTACTCTAGAAAAGAGGGATTTCATTTCAAAAATAGAAGTTTGTATCGCCAACGGACACTCATTAGGTAGACAGGTATTCGCTGCCTTTCTTCAGATTATAACAATATTATTTGTAATAGTAATACTTAGGTACCTACACTAATAAACTCGTTAAGTGCCCAGTCCAGCGACAAAACATACATATTTTACTTAGAATTTAGAAACATGACGATAGATGTAGGCACTCATTGTTAACACCAAACTGAAACAAAAGTTGAATGAATACAATAAAATACTTTGGTTGTTTTATTATATTGAAAGCTAACAGACGGCCGATTAATGGATAGGTTAAATTTGAATAGGTATGGGTAATATAAAAAAAAAAAACACAAAATAAACACAAAAAAATATAAAAATATAAAAATATAAAAATATAAAAAAAAATATACACAAAAAACAATTCCGAGCGAAGATGTCAGAAAAATTGAACATTTCAAACATTTTTAACTACCTAGGTACCTACATACTAAATAATTTGTAAATTTTTTTGATAAGTGTTGTCAATTGTGCTTATGTGTCGACTTTAATATTTTTCCACTGCAGTTGAAAAAACTTGGGAATCTGAGGAATCTTGTATTCAATTGTCTTATATCTCAGATATAAATATAAACATTTAAATTATTTATGTTTATAGAAAAAAAAAACCAAAAGAATTGTAAAATGAAAATACAAATGTATATCTATAAATAACTCAAAACGAATGAAAATATTTAAAAAAAATTATCATGACGTACCCATATAGAAAATAAAAAAATGTTTTGTTAACATTTTAAATATCTACTTTCTACGGTCATTCATTTTTTAATTACATCAAAATAAGAAAATCGTTCGATGAGAATTCATTAATTTACATTTGAATATTTAATGTAAAAACAATTTGAATGCTCATAAAAAATTAGTTTTGACTAACTGGTAAACTTTTTTTTTGTTTAAAACTTTTGGGAAATTTTTTATTGACTTTTAAAATCTTAGATGTAGGTAAGTAGAAAGGTTTTAATGAATTTTTAACTCGAAATAATTTATACATTTTTTTAATTTTTAAGAGTTTTGTCAAAATGATTTTTTCAGACGCTTATACGTATTACACCAAATTGTGGATTTACTATCAAATTTTTTTTATTTCCATTAAAAAATACTTATGAGAAACTTTGTATTATATTTTCAAGTTTTGAACGAGTGAAATTTTTTTTGTTGATAATAATTTTTAAAAAAGCTGGTAAGTGGATATCGCTCTGCTGTACAGTAGGTTACAGGTAGAGTGCCTTGAGCACTCTAGTTACAAGTAGGTAACTGTATAATGGATGTATCAAATTGAATTCTATGATATAACATCATTGTATACGAAAAAACAATTATGAGCAGAGACGGTTTGTCAGTGTGGATATTTTATATTATAGTTATTAATTTGTTAATACTTATTATTAATACGGTAGCTACGGAAAGTTGAATTAATATTATAAAAAACTGAAAATTAACAGTTTTATATAGTTTCATGGTATAAAGATACATTTTTGTTCAAAATTTAAAAATTTAAAGAGTTAATGATGATTATTTTCGAAATAACTATACTATACATATGTTATCTAACAAATATCCATGAATTAAATCCTCAATAATTTATAAAAGAAACTTTTAATTTATATTTGCATACATTTTTTTTATACTCTATTAATTTACACATTATTTCTTTATCATATGGAAAATATGACCAATAAAGTCTATTAATAAGAACCATCAACCATTCAAACTTATTTGCCATTTATAATCACAATCAACCATCCATATGTCTAATGATATTGTTTTAAATAAAACATTTAATCAATAAACAAAATCTCAATATAGGCCAATACACTTTTGAGCAGGTGGATAACTTTAAATACCTTGGAGTTAAGGGGCCTGCTCGCGATTTTTCAAATTTTCCGAAATTCTATAAAATTTGAAAATTAAATTTTATATTTTAGTTGCCACCTCAATTATAAGACTTTTCCACTAATCTACTACCCAATACCTATTTAGGGGGGGTTGTTAGGGTGTATTATATCGGTCAAAACACAGTTTACAGGAAAAACTCTCACACCTCGTAGATTGGTCCGATTTCCGTAATTTTTTTTTTGTTAGATAGAGGACTATTTTTTACAGGGCGCATTGGACTTCGATTTTTGATTACGTCGCTAAAAACAAAAAATAATACAAAAACTAAAAAGTTGTAAAAATTGATTAAATTCAAACTTGTAACATAAGACTTAGAAAAATAATGTTGAAAATCCAAGTCCAATGCGCCCTGTAAGAAGTCTTCCTCTATCTAACAAAAAAAAATTACGGAAATCGGACCCATCTACGAGGCGTGAGAGTTTTTCCTGTAAGGCATGTTTTTGAGCAAAAAACAGGTCGCGTGCAGGCCCCTTAATATAAATGCCAACAATAATATGCACAATGAAATAAATTTGAGATTAACAGCAGTAAATCAAAGTTACTTCGCTATGAATAAGATGTTCAAATCAAGACTTTTGTCAAAAGAATCAAAGGTAAAACTTTATACTACTTATCTACGTCCAGTCATCATATATGGATGTGAGACATGGTCAACAACAAAGGGTGACAAAGAAAAACTGTTTCAGAAAGATTCTGTGAAGAATAAATGGTCCTATATGAAACCCGGATAATAGGGAATATGAGCGCAGGAAAAACACAGACATAGAAAGGCTGTTCAACAAACCAAAAGTTCAAAGTTTTCTAACATCCAAAAGATTAGAATGAGCTGGGCATGTTTGGAGGGCGAAGCAGGATCTGATCAATAAAGTTTTAACCAATAATCCATCTGGGAATAGACCTCAAGGAAGACGGCGTTAGCGGTGGATGGACTGTATAAAGAATGATCTAAAAAAAACGGATCAAACATTAGTAATGGAGGAGTCCATTACAACAATCAAGTTTCAAATTGGCCATTAAACTATTGAATCAATCTTTAATAATTTCTTCCACATAACTTATGAATGTATTTTTTATAAATTATGTTTATGAAAAAACTAAAATATATATATAAAAAAAAACAATCAAATAAGAAAATACTAAAAAAAACATTATATTTTCAAAATTACACAATATTTGAGGCAACATAAAACATGGAATTGTGTGAGTAAATTATAATTATTATTTCAATTATAAAACAGAAACTTTGCTAGCCTAAGATAATTTAACATTCAAAATTTTAATTATGTAGACAATGTGCTGTCATTTTGGACTTCCATTGAGTCATCTTGTTTATCCTCTTCATTTTCAGCATCTGTTAAAACATAAAAAAAAAATATATAATTTAGGATACATAATAATATAATAAACACATGTAATAAATCGAATTATCCTATAAAAATGATTAATATATTATTGGACATTGGTAATTAATACATTTAGAGTTGGTATTTTTTCATTATTGAAATAAATCCTGTAATTCTTTTTAATTGTTTGAGTTTTTAAACTTATATAACACCAATTATAAATACTGATTAAATTCAGTTTAAAACCAAAAATAATTTTTTAAGAAAAACACAATATTCAATTGGATCTTACGCTGTTTTAAACATAACAACCCTGATTACATTAGATCAGGGGATATAATTCATATTGATAATAAAACTGTGCTCATTATCTTTGTTGATGTGATTGAATACAGGTATATTTTAAATAATTTTTTTTATGATCAATATTGTGCAGTGTATTATTTACATTCTAGTATTTACTGTAAAGTTAACTGCACGTTATTTGTATTTTTTATTTTTTAAATGTTTGAGTATAATTATATATCAAGTTAAAAACTTAAATATCTAAATTATTGCCAGATTTATTGGTATATTTTTGTCACTATTAATAAAAAAAAGCATTAATAAATAATTATGAATCTATACTCTGTTCAACGAGAGAACGCACGGCGCACCGACCAAAACTGGTTCCCCCACGCAACACCCTGCCATAGGAGAACCGGTTTCGATAGCAGTGTGATGCGGGGGGATGCGCAGAATCTGTGAGTTCTCTCGTTGAACAGAGTATATGGCACTTTGAAAATATAAAATATATTACATTTGACATCTGCATTAGAACATAACAATACTTTTACACCAACCTGTCATTGCATAATGATCAAACATGTATTCTTTTTGATATTCTTTCATAAGCTGAGTCGAACGTTCTTCATCCAAAAACAGTCTGTACACTTTTTTTACATCATCTACGGTCACTTCAGTCGCTTTACGTTTTCGGCATACTAAGTGGGCAGTTGTTATCAATTGAATGCCGTAACGCAGCGAAGTTGATTTACTTATCTTGGCTAAAATGGACAAGGCATCTTTGGATATTTCACAATCTTCTTCTTCGGCCCTAATACATTTTATCAAAATTACAATAAGTTTTATTACAGTAAAAATAATATAATTAATATTTAAGCTGTGAATGATGGACAAATACCTAATTTTTAAGATTTGTTCTAATTCATTCTCAGAATAGGGTTGTGTCATAATGATGACCATGCGGTCAAGCAAATCAAGTGGTACACCATGGGGTGATTTATAGTTTGTGCCTCGGATGTTTGTCACTCCACGGTTGGTGGCTGTTATTACAATTGGAGCAATTTCATTTTCTAATGCTCTGTTCAGGAATGAAAAACATTCTATATCCAACATGTGCACCTAAAATGTGTTACATTAATATTTAACATGAAATAATTATACACTGGTATCAATAATAATAATTTATAAATAATAATCATAATTACTTCATCAATGAATAGTACCCCTGCTAATAATTCAGCTTTTCCCTCTTCACGCCATTCACTAACTTTACAGTTAATTTGGTCTCTAACTTCTGACTTAATTTCACCTGTGTCACCTACAAACAAAAAAGTTAAAATAAAATAAGTCTTAATACTAAAATATTACTAAATTAACGCACTTTTGTTTTTATCAGAGCAAGATCTTAACATATAATTTCTAAAAATTGTGTTCTTCATTTATTTTTAAAATGTTGAATATTTTATAAGAAGCATTCTGTGTTTATTGTTAATTATTATCGAATTATTATTAAGTATTAGCTGGTAATATTATTAGCGAAGATTATAAAGGTACAACAACAAATGTTTTAAAGTCCTAAAAAAAAATTATATTTTTGAAATAAAATTATATCAGTAAATAGGTAATAAATATATTAACTTAAGGGGATTTCAAATAGACAGTTTTAAAGGAATTCAAAATAAGCAATATTCAAATTGTATGCATGTGGGTTTTGTAAATGTGTGTGAGCAATGTGCATGAGTGTAAAAGAAATAGTGGAGCGCTCCTGCAAGCGCAAGTAAAAGTCACTTCCACAGCGTTGCGGGGGAAATGGTTAACAATTTATGATCATTTGTATGTACTTTTTGTCAATCCTACCGATACTTCTGATAACGAGATAAGGCTCTTGAAAACTGATTTGAATTCGTTAATATTATGTCCACTTGATCAAGCCACATTTTAAGATATTTAATTTAATTTTCAAATAATCAACATTTAAAACTTCGTAAATTTTAAATATTCAAACAAAACGTATAGGATTTAGGAACAAAATTTTAAAAAAGTGGGCCAGATTAAATCTGAAGTAGACATTAACGAATTCAAGTCAGTTTTCAGAAGTGTTATAGAGTAACCAATTTCATCGGTATGATTGAAAACAGATTGGTACATTTTGGTTGAAATAATTATCCGTTTGCAATCCAATTAAAGGTAGAGGCTTTTATAGCTACTTTTAAGATTTAAGGTTAAGAAAACAATATTATTATTATTATTATCATAAGGCTTAATAAGTATTAATGTTTATGCACTAAGTAAATGGTTTAACACTTAACATTTCAATATTTGATTCACAATGTTAGTAACATTTATTAATCTATTATAAATAAAAAAAATTGAAAGAACCGCTTAGAAAGATTAGTTCAAATTTGAGTATTAGTTATTAAAGGTTAAATTTATTATGAGGTACCATAATACCATAGCATACTACCTACTGAAAGACTAACTGTATCTGTTCAGAATAATATGTGCCTTCAGTTAACAAATCAAAAACCAAATACATGCTAATAGCTTGCCAAATGCTAAATAAGTACGATATAAGTACCATATACATTTGAAAAATTTGATGAATTAAAATATTTATGAATGCTAATTAACTGTAAAAAAGATTTGTGAGATAAACTGTGAGAGTAACTCAGCAAATCATGTATATTTTTCTTTGAATAATTTTCTTGAGTCCAAGCACAATATCAATAGTGGTCAAGGGAAGTGTATCTAGCTAAAAAAAAATATTGATCTGGGAGTTCTAAATAAGAAACCTAATATCAAAAGTTTTTTCAAATCGGTTAGAATTGGCTAATGGTGTATGGTGATCCGAGGGACTACTACAGAATGTACTGAATACTGATGAACAAACCAAATGGTAAGCACTCTAGAGTTAGACTCTGGCAATGGTGGCAAGATGAATGAAGATATTATATGATCGGTGGACAAACGTCAGACAGTGAAACTTTGTTGTAGAAACTGAAAAAGGCCTTAGTTGCCAGTAAATAAATTTTAAAAAAAACTGTACACTGAAACTAACTGTAAACATTTTCTAAATTAAAAAAATAGTTATGAAACAAAAACTACAAATGATTTATTTGAAATTACTTTCAATTAAACACACATCATGGAATAACTAATGGTATTTTATTTTACCTGAAAACAGAGCAAGGAAACCGTGTGTCCTGGAATTAATCACATCAATTTCATGTAACGTAACTGTATGTACAACTTCTTTGCGTTTTTGAAGTTCGCCTTCAGGACACTGCACAAATCTAAACAAAATTTGTTTGTGAGTGCCATTTACTTACTTAGAAAGCAAACTTAATATTATGATACAAGTATAATATGGTATACATTTATAAATTATACTAATAACTTACCTAGTTTGTGGGCCAGATGCATCGTAATCTCTTGATCTGGTAAATGACCGTCCAATTTTGTTAACTTTGCCACTAGCAACATCGATGGTAACTACATCTCCAGCCAAAACCTTCACACAATTAAAATTCAATAATTAATTATTCAAAAGCATCAAAATAATAGGTTTTAATTACTTTTTCTTTTAACAAAGCCTCAATCATTTTGTTTCCAAGATCATAAACAGTTTCCATGTCTGTAGTTCTCATAGTTAACTTTCCTACTTTAGACCCGGTTCCTGTGACTGGGCGTTCTATTTGGAACTCTACTACTTCACCTTCAATAATTTCACTTTCCTCCCTGTAAAATATTATGGTTAAGAATGGTGTCACTAAACATTCTACAACAACTGTAAACATACTTGATGCGGACACCGATTGATTTACGGATGGCTTGTGTTAGTGCTTCGGTTTTACTCATTTCTAAACTATAAATCTCTGAACCAGACATGCAAGTAAACGGTGTATCAGAACCCAAAGCTTGTGCCAATGCCATGGCAATAGCAGTCTTTCCTATAGAAAAAACAAAATATATGTTCAGTTAATATTAGTTCAGTAAGTAGTCAGGGAGTGTGTCAAATTACCTGTGCCAGGTTCGCCGGCGAGTAGAACAGACCTTCCAGCAATCTTTTCTTCTTTTATCATGTCTAACACGACGCCCATGGCCTTGCGAGCTTTCAACTGGCCAACCAGTCCTTGTGAAACCTAAAATCAACCAAACCTATTAGACAATGATTAACAGGAGACATTTATTATGTGATGTACAAACATTTCTTGGTTCCCTGTTGTCGTCCAACCCAAGTCCACGTATGTGAGAATGGGCCCCGATACGTTCTACTCGGGAAATCTCCCGGACTTCTTGCACCTTGGCTACCGCAGCTGCCTGACATCAAAAATATTTGTGGTTTGAGATGGTAATTTATTATGGATAGGTAAATAGGTTTAGCAAAACATCAAAAACAGTCGAAAATACTTACGGACATGGTAGTTTGAGGAAGTAAACTGATTTGCGACTATCTCTGGGTTTTTTTTAGTTTTTAAATCACACGAGCCGCAAAAAGTGTTGAGTACTCGTAACTATAGAAAATATTATAAACATCGATCAATCAGAAATCTGATACAAAAAATGGCAGGAATACACAATTTGTTTTTTTATTTAGTCACATATGAACATAACCTACAAATAACCGGAGAAGTATTATCATCGGTTGGAAGTGACGAACGTTTTTCCGATGTCCAGTTCTCGGTCCTCGAGTTTCGACTATAATATTGTTCTGATAAAAATTAAAAAGTCGGTTTCGAATAGTTTCGATATCAGACGACATAATATCGTGTTTACATCTACTGTTCGCGGTCGTTGATAAAAAAATATACAACAACTGTTGTCGACGCTCGTCGTTGTTGTCGACTTATAAAATTGTCAAATATTGCTTGAATATCAATCTAATTTAATTTTTTTTCAACCCTCGGACAACTTAAAGCTTGATTCGTGAGGAACACACCGATGACAGCAGCTGTGGTCTCATTAATCGTATTTGGCATGGCCAGATGAGAACGACGAACGTCTTCTTCCCAATCGCGATGAGTAGGACAACGTAAGATCCATCGTACAGGGGACACCGACCGACTACCCGAGACACTGAATTCGATAGTAGACGAAATAATGTCGTACGAACAGACTGCTTGCGACGGTAAAATATGTCATGTTTTGATCATGTCGATTTCGAATTAAACCCGCAAGTCTAAAAGGTTTTCACTCTCATAACATTCGGCTCAGCGTAGACCATTTACTCTTCGATGTACGGCTCCAACAGCCATTGTTTATTCGGATCCAGTGTTGTATAGATACGGTCGATTTCATTTTTTACCCCCGTTATGAACACTACACTTGCTCGTTTCTGTTCAAACGAAAGCGACTTAGTCGCACTAAATTTTTTAATATAGAACACTGAGCATTCTATTTTCTACAGCAGTGTCATTTTCGGGTAGACTCATAACATATTTTTATACTGTTCACCGGGTGGGAACTATTTGGTAAAATAATGAAGTAAAATTAAACAGGAATTCTTATCTAATATTATTCCAATTTTATACTATACTAATTTTCATACCTACTTACAACTTACAAAAGCTTTGCCTACAATATATATATTAATACATTTAATTCTCAATATAAATACATAATTTAATACATGTCACTTTAATTTATCAAAACAAACAACAAGCTTAAATCAACAGAAAATAACACTTAAAAATCTTAATACATAGATATAAATTTTTTTTAATAATTTTGTAGGTATTGAAAGCAATATTATAAAACCTAAGTACATGTGTTCTATAAATTTGATTAATACATTTAACATAAAAATAAATTAATGTTATAGATCTTAAAGCTTTTGAGCGGCGACTAACCGAGGTGATTGCTTCCATCAAACCAATAACTAATCGATGGCGAAGTAAGAGCATTTTTTTTCCAAGTACATTGAAGGTAATAATTGAATGTAATTTATTATGATTTTTAATTTTTTCAGCAATTTTAGCTATTTCAACATTAAGTGCTTCAATAGGTGCCTATTATTGGTTGACAGATCCACAAACAGCTAAAGTATCATTTGTCCAATCGCTGTACAATCATTTATTGTTCACCATTTCATCTGTAATGCTAAGTAAGAACACTTAAGATATTTAACAATTAACATTAGTGTTTAATTTATTGTTTTAATTTTATTTTAACTAGTGATATTACTTTTAACTGGAGTGCACAAAAAAGTGATAGCAACATCAATAATAACGTCACGTGCGAGGCAAGTGTTATCCGATTTTAATATGTCTTGTGATGATTCTGGAAAACTGATACTTAGACCTAGGCCACAACAAAACACATGATGATAAATAATGTATTGTTCTATTTATTTTGTTTTTACTTAGTCAGTATAAGCATTAAATAACAATTGTTCATGAATGACTGACACCTTATTATTACGAGTAAAATCTATCATTTTGAATTTTAATGTATCTAATATACAATTTGCTTAAATTTGGGTGTTAATGTTACTAAACAGGTTTGCATTTGATGTGTTTTAATAAAATGTGCTTAATATGTACATTATATAATTAATATTTATATAATAATATTATATACAATTATTATTAAACTGATATAGGTAGATAAAAAATTATATGAATTGAATGCATTTGTTTTATTAATCTGAAATAGAAAGAGTTCAAAACATACTTATCAACAAATCTATTTAGGTCAGCGATTCTTATACTGAATATTCAATGGTTCTTACTTAATAAATATGATCTAAAAAATTCCCAATTTATTTTCTTATTTTTCCATTAAACAAAAATTTGCTTTCATATGCTAGGTTTTTTTTGGATTTAATTACTCTTTTATTTAATGTAACAAATAAACAATATTATATTGTTAATACTTAATCATTATGTGTATTATTCTTGGGTTAAACTTGTTAAGAATATTAGGTAAAAAATAAAACATTGTGGCGATTGAAAGTGATAAGATGTAACGGTGTATCATTTATATGTTATATTACATGTTCCCCCTTACAAATCCACCCCCCGTCGGCCTGATAATTGATAAGTTTTCAATCGCCAATAAGTCTAGTACTATAATTTTGTTTTATAACAAGGTCTTTAAGATAAACTTTATACATGTGAACCAAATTAACATGCACAAATAGATATTAAAGATTATTGATCAAGTTCTTTATAAATTAAATGTTTAGGATAGAAACATGGCTTGAACAAAATTATTTTAAATTTATAGTTAATAGTTATAGATAATACATTCATAATTCATATGAATATTATATTAAGCAATAATACATTGGTACCCTTATCCTCGTTGAGCTGCACAAGCCCAATAAATATGTCTAAACAAATAAAATTCTGCTCTAGTAGGTAATAACCAAAGGTCTTATAGCTAGACGTTATATAACATAAGATGTATAAAAGATGGTTTTAAAATCTTTTTTTTGTTTTATATAAGGTCACCAAAAATCATTTTTTATAACAAAATTGTCTTTTTAGCATTAAGTACTTAGTTTTAAAATGGTTTTATAAGATACTAGCTGAATTACCCGGAAAACATATTTGTATTGTTCAACTCCTTTTAGGTGTGACACGCTGTGGAATATGTGGAATAAATTGAGTTTTTAAGTGTGAATTATATTATATTTTAATGTATAACCATCCCGAAAGTCGTTGTCCATGAGATTCGCTTGTGATTATGCGAGGAGTATATTTTCATTTAGGCAATCTAACTGCGGTATATCGCAGATACCCTGTGATTTGTACGTAAGTGTATAATTTAACTCTAAAGTATCAAAGTTATAGCAACTTTGTCGTTTTTACTTCAACCTACAGCGGATTAATACAAAATCCTAACCTAACCATACTAAAATCCGATGAATAAAAAAAAAACTAACATTTGTATGTATAGATAAAGAAGAAAAATAAAAAAAACCAATGCTTACTTTACAAATTGGTTCAATCTTGAGACATTCAGATTCAGTACTAAAATACATTGAAGTGCCACTGAGCCAACATGCATTAACAGTTATATTATTATTATTAAAACCATTTACAAAAATGTCCATTGTAAATCTCAAAATCCCTGTTATTTAAGCACATCCCCGGGTCGTATCTCTAATTTACCCTTTTTAAAATATCTTATTTTCTTACCAGAGGTCTGATCTACCTCTGAACCAAATGTAATCGCAATCGGTCCAGTCGTTTAGGAATGCATTAAGGACACTGGCCTGACCTATGTCAATAATTTACAGTTCAAAATATTCCCACCTATATTACACATGAGGCGCCCCTAGAACACAAGGCACAAAATCTGAGATAAATGCTCAGCTAAAATACAAATTTTTCATTTTTTTTTTTGTGGCTAAGAGATATAAGTAAATTATTTGTCATGTGTTGTGATCTGGTAGCAAATTCATTCTGGATTAGCATTAAAGAGATACTAGTGCACAAATTTCAATCGCGGTTATTTTGAAATTCAAATAATATAACTTATACCCCTTGTGTTCCATGGGTCTCGACGTCTCGTATATATTAAATAATATTATACTGACGACTGTCTACAATTAACGACAACACAGACATTCATTTTTACGTATATATAGATTTTATTATAAATTATAACACAATACACAAAAATGATGTAAGTATCATTTATTATACCTAATTTAGACAACCTAAATATGAAATCGTCTTAAACACAATTTTGACGGTCGATTATTTTTATTTATCTGTCGTCTGTCGATATCAACGTTATTAATTGGGTAGGTGCGTTGTAAAAATATACGATTTCTAGACTTTTTGAAGACATAACAATTTAGTTTCTTTCAAAAGATAACAGGGTCTAATCTAATTATTTTCCCTTCTCATTCAATCACATACTGTCGTCGTTACTTGATAATATAATATATTATTCTGTAATACACTTATAACATTGTTTGTGTTTCGTGTGATATTTTAACATACCTAACGTGTTTATTTATGAGTTAATAAATATAGGTAGGTATGTCAGAAATTCAATTTATTACCAGTGAACGCGGTCGTTACTCGTTCATTAATTTTATATAAAATGTATAAATATTATTTTGAAAGTACATCGATTCGAACTGGCGAAACGAAGTGGCGTTGTTGCGTTAAGAAATTTCCAACTTTTATAAAAGTTTTAACTATATAATATCATCAAGTAATGAAGATCATAAACACGAATCTTGCAGTAAACAATTTAAATGATGCAGCGTCAACAGCTGCTGTCTGCATCAGTAAAAAGAAAAGCAACTGATAATCCGCACGATAAATACCAATTAAAGTTTAAATTCAATGTTTAAATGACCAGTCGGCAGTCAACTATAGTAAATTAGAAATTACTGATTTAAAATATATTAAAAGAAACGCATACCTACAATGCACTCCGTAATATTTTACCTCCTTTACGAACTCTGTACACGAAGCTATTGAGCAACAAAGACAACCCAAGACGAACATTTTGTATTAACAAATAATGTAATAGATAGTTTAATAATTTTTTCATGTAAATTAAATTTAAGAGTTTTTTGTCAAGCCGAAATTGTATATTTTGATGGAACATTTGATTTCTGTGCTAAATTTGTTTACCAATTCTTAAGTTTCCATGGTTATTTAAACGGTCATTGTGTTCCTTTAATATTTTGTTTATTAAAAGATAAAAAGGAATTAACTTAGAAACAATGTTTTCAAACAATAAATGTACTGTGTAATGAAGTTGGCAGTGAATTCAAACCAAATAAAATTGTAACTGATTTTGAAAAAGGATTACGAAAAGCTTGCATGTTATACAATGGCCCGGAATTAAATTAGATGGTTTTCGTTTCCATTTATCGCAATTCGCAGGCATGGTGGAGTGCAATTCAAATATTTTAGCTCTTGACGGACTATATAAAAATGACGAATCATAAATTAGTAAATGGCCGCATTACTGTTTTGGATTGATATTTTTAAGCCCAAAAGATGTTGAAAACTGTTTTAGTATTGACCTGTACGGCTGTACAACGCTAAACCAAACGATGACCGCCTGGAGGATACATTTTATGATTATTTAAAAAATACATATATTGGTGAACGAGCAACTTTCCACCTACAGTCTGGGCAAAAGCTTCTTCCGAATTGACAAAATCCACCAATGCTTGCGAATAATTTCATGCCCATTTTAAATCAAATTTTAACCATAGCCATCCAAATATTTTTATATTTATTGATAGTTGATACATTAAAGAATATTCAATCAGAAACTTACATAAAATTACAAAGTATACATAAACCAAATAGTTGTCATAATTATAAGTTTAAAAAAACGGCAACAATTATTAAACCAACTAATACAAAATTATAAAGATCAAGAAATAACTAAATTGTCTAAATTACATTATAATATAAAAACAATTTCACATTATTACTCAATCAAAAATAATCAACATCAACAATATCTTCAATCAACACTTAATAATTTTAATAAAACTAGAATGACGATGAATATGAATTTTTCTAAAGAGCTGAATTTTTCTATAAAGAAAAAAAATAATACTTTTGGAGGATAACTAGAACCGCCTCCACGTGGTATCCTCTGGGTTACGCTAAATGGTTCTAATTATTTTGTTTAGGGGAGTCCGGGAGTTTACGTAAGCGTAATACGGTAGCAAAATGTTTTTAGGAGAGTAAACTATTAGGGGAATTTACTATTTAATTTTTTAGGTGAATTTACATTTGCTCGTCTGGGAGGGCCGAGCCCCCCCCCTGGATCCGCCACTGTCAAAGTGTTAATTCGTTTTGTCAATTTCTTAATACCACGGGGCACACACATATATTATCTTAGTCCGTGCTTAATACTTTCACAGATATTAGCATTTTCAGTATTGTCCTATAATTCTGGCACTAATAACATATTTTGTCCTCAATGATGGACAGAAGCAACAATCATCAAACAGACTGATCGCTGAGTGAAGGTCGCGATTGGACGCCCTTAGGTAATAGGTATCGACCGCGAAGGATCGTTAGGCCGGGCAGACCGTAGAAACGGAGCGGTGTTTAATTTTCTGCTCCATGATATTTCTGTTAGATTTTTTTCCATGAATTCTTCATTTTATCATTTTATCATTCTTCATTCATAATCACGAATTAAAATATACTGGATACCCAACGACCTATATGAACAACTATTTTTCTTGGACCCAAACTGACTTGTCAGAACAGCTGTTGCAAACTACACCTAGCGCTTGTTATCATATTTGTGGCAACTTTTACAAAATAATTTACCGCCAAATTTGTAAATATTTGGAATTAAATAAATTACCATGACAAAA